AGAGTATTATATAGTCTTTCCACGCTTGACTATTTTGGCTCTAGACAATTTTTTAATCACAAATATATAGTCTCAACCAAACTGTTTTCGAAATTGCGTTGTACTATTTTGACATTTTTGATTAGTTGACATATAGAACGATTTCCTAAATTTTAAATATATTCCGATAATAATTTGATAAAGTAGGGCGACTTTTTCAAAATAAGTGTTATTGTTTTCAAAAAATGTGCACTTTTATATAGGAAAAAATAATATTGCATTGGAATTTTGGTAACAAAAAAAAACAAAACAATATTGACATTTTGAATTGGATCGTGTTGAATTGGACGCGTGTCAAAATTTGAAAATGTGATAATTAAATTGTTTTTATTATAACATAAACAAATCATAATATTCCATCAAAATTTTCTTATCTTAATATGTATAAGTAATTGAAAAAGAGAAGATTAGAGAAATATTTCTATGGTTACATTAAAATAATAAATTAAAGTAAAATTAAACAAATCTTGATAAATTTATAGTTTAAACAATTATCTAATATCAGATTTTTATTATTTTCCTCAATAACAATAAGCAATTTTTAAGTTTTATTAGTTTAACGATAACATTATATATGTATTTATAGGCCCTAAAAGGTCGGGTTCACTTTATTCTATTGATTTTGTTTCAACTTAACGTAAAATGTATAAAATTTAAATTCAAAAATTGTTTTCTTTATAAAAATCACTTGTTTTTTGTTTTAGCCAATTAATGACTTAATGCTAATTTTAAGACTAAAAACTCATCTTTTTTGCTGTAAATTCTCTAAAACTCAGCTTTATTTAATTAATTTTTTATTTTCAGAAAACCCCCTTTGAAAAGGTACTGAAAAAAATACAACAAATTGTTGCGGTTGTACAAAATTTTAAAAAAAATTTTTGGTATAAAAAAGAGATCAAAGCTCCACTACAGTCACATGTCGTTTTGAATTTGATAAAAATTTAAATATTTTTTTTTTATAAAATGCAAGTGTTTTGCTTTTTATTAATTAATCAGTAATATCTTAAATAAAAACCTGAAGTATCCCAAAAATTAGCAAACTTTTTTTTTACAACAATTAACTAATAAATTAAATTTATTAAAAGACAACAGGGACCTTCAAAAGAGAAAGTGTTATTTGTTGTTCTGTTTTTAAAAATTTTGATATTTAAAATTTCTTTAATTGAAAACAGAGTATGTAATTATTCAAATATAAAATAAAAATTATTAAATTAAGCTAAAGAAGCTGAACAAACACAAAAGCCAAATGATGTTCGTAAATGTTTTAAAATATTTCCAAAACAAATTCATTAATAGTAAACATTCTGCTGATGAAGTAATCAAACGAAAGGGCGAACTAACTCTATAGTATTGACTATAGATCAGCCCATAGTATTGACATAGATCAGTCTATAGTCTTAACGATAGATCAGTATAAATTCATGACTATCGATTAGTCTATAGTCTTGACTATAGATCAGTCTATAGTCTTGACTATAGATCAGTCTATAGTCTTGACTATAGATCAGTCTATAGTCTTGACTATAGATCAATTTATACTCTTGACTATAGATCAGTCTGTACTCCATACTATAGATCAATCTATACTGTTGACTACAGATAAGTTTATAGTCTTAACTATAGATCAGTCTATAGTCTTGACTGAACTATACATCAATCTACAGTCTTGACTATAGATAAGTCTATAGTCTTGACTATAGATCAGTCTATACTCTTGACTATAGATCAGTCTATAGTCTTGACTATAGACCAGTCTATAGTCTTAACTATAGATCAGTCTATACTCTTGACTATAGATCAGTCTATAGTCTTGACTATAGATCAGTTTATAGTATTGACGATAGACCAGTCTATACTCTAGACTATAGATCAGTCTATACTCTTGACTATAGATCTGTCTCTACTCTTGACTGTAGATCAGTTTATAGTCTTGACTATAAATCAGTCTATAGTCTTGTCTATAGATCAGTCAATTGTCTTGACTATAGATCAGTCTATACTCTTGACTATAGATCATTCTATACTCTTAACTATAGATCAGTCTATAGTCTTAACTATAGATCACTATATAGTCTTAACAATAGATCAGTCTATAGTCTTGACTATAGATCAGTCTATACTCTTGACTATAGATCAGACAATACTCTTGACTATAGATTATGACTATAAATCAGTCTATAGTCTTAACAATAGATTAGTCTATAGTATTAACTATAGATTAGTATATAGTCTTAATTGATTAGCCAATACTCTTGACTATAGATTAGCCTATATTCTCGACAATAGTTCAGTGTATAGTGTTGACTATATATCAGTCTATAGTCTTGACTATTGATCAGTCTATAGTCTTGACTATAGGTCAGTCTATAGTCTTGACTATAGATCAGTCTATAGTCTTGACTATAGGTCAGTCTATAGTCTTCACTATAGGTCAGTCTATAGTCTTGACTGTAGGTCAGTCTATAGTCTTGACTATAGGTCAGTCTATAGTCTTGACTATAGATCATTCAATAGTCTTGACTATAGATCAGTTTATAGTATTGACTATAGATCAGTCTATACTCTTGACTATAGATCAATCTATACTCTTGACTATAGATCAGTCTATAGTCTTGACTATAGATCAGTCTCTACTCTTGACTGTAGATCAGTCTATAGTCTTAACAATAGATCAGTCTATACTTTTGACTATAGATCAGTCTATGCTCTTGAATATAGATCAATCTATAGTCTTAACTATAGATCAGTCTATAGTCTTAACAATAGAACAGTCTATAGTCTTGACTATAGATCAGTCTATACTCTTGACTATATATCAGTCTTGACTATAGATCAGTCTTTAGTCTTAACTATAGATCAGTCTTTAGTCTTAACTATAGATCAGTCTATAGTCTTGACTATAGATCAGTTTATAGTCTTGACTATAGATCAGTCTATATTTTTAACTATATATCTGTCTATAATCTTGACTTTAGATCAGTCTATACTCTTGACTATAGATTAGTCTATAGTCTTAACTATAGATCACTCTGTAGCCTTAATTTCTAGAATATTCCAAAGTATCTACTAAATAATAAAATAAGTGTTGAATCATTTTTTTCTAACATTTCTTAGGTCTACCAATATCTTTCAAATATCTACTTTAAAAATTGTACAGTAATTTATTTGTTTTATTTAAACCACTAATAAACATTATTATTTAAACATTCTTGGGCTCCGTTATAAATTCTTTTATTGATATTATTTTACGAGTTTTACGATTACAAATCTGTGTTTGTTTATTTGTTCACTAGTTTAAAAAAAGTTGTTATTTCTTTTAGTGGCAGATAACTAGAGATAAAAAGTAAATACATAATAGCCAAGTATTTAAACATTCTAACTGCTAATTTTTGCTAATTTAGCATTTACTATGCTTTCCAAATTAGACATTGTAAAGATAAATTAATTAACACTGTGTTGTTTAGAAAATACTATTAGAAATTACAGTGGGTAAGAAAAATGTTTTAGTTCAGCGCTAGTTCAGTTTTAGTTTAGTTATAGTTCAGTTCTAGTTCAGTTTTAGTTTAGTTCTAGTTCAGTTCTAGTCCAGTTCTAGTTCAGTTCTAGTTCAGTTCTAGTTCAGTTCTAGTTCAGTTCTAGTTCAGTTCTAGTTCAGTTCTAGTTCAGTTCTAGTTCAGTTCTAGTTCAGTTCTAGTTCAGTTCTAGTTCAGTTCTTGTTCAGTTCTAGTTCAGTTCAAGTTCAGTTCTAGTTCAGTTATAGTTCAGTTCTAGTTCAGTTCTAGTTCAGTTCTAGTTCAGTTCTAGTTCAGTTCTAGTTCAGTTCTAGTTCAGTTCTAGTTCAGTTCTAGTTCAGTTCTAGTTCAGTTCTAGTTCAGTTCTAGTTCAGTTCTAGTTCAGTTCTAGTTCAGTTCTAGTTCAGTTCTAGTTCAGTTCTAGTTCAGTTCTAGTTCTAGTTCAGTTCTAGTTCAGTTCTAGTTCAGTTTTAGTTCAGTTCTAGTTCAGTTCTAGTTCTAGTTCAGTTCTAGTTCAGTTCTAGTTCAGTTCTAGTTCAGTTCTAGTTCAGTTCTAGTTCAGTTCTAGTTCAGTTCTAGTTCAGATCTAGTTCAGATCTAGTTCAGTTCTAGTTCAGTACTAGTTCAGTTCTAGTTCAGTTCTAGTTCAGTTCTAGTTCAGTTCTAGTTCAGTTCTAGTTCAGTTCTAGTTCAGTTCTAGTTCAGTTCTAGTTCAGTTCTAGTTCAGTTCTAGTTCAGTTCTAGTTCAGTTCTAGTTCAGTTCTAGTTCAGTTCTAGTTCAGTTCTAGTTCAGTTCTAGTTCAGTTCTAGTTCAGTTCTAGTTCAGTTCTAGTTCAGTTCTAGTTCAGTTCTAGTCTAGTTCAGTTCTAGTTCAGTTCTAGTTCAGTTCTAGTTCAGTTCTAGTTCAGTTCTAATTCAGTTCTAGTTTAGTTATGCTTCAATTATACTTCAGTTCTGGATAAGTTCTATATCACTTTTAGTTCAGTTCTAGTTCATTTCCAAAAACATTTGTAATTTACCTTGTATTCCAATTTGTGTGTTTTTTGATTTCTTGAACAATAATTTGTGGATTTTCTGATTTCTTGAATAATAACTTAATTTCGGACATTTTCTTTTTATTGAAAAGATCTTCTTTTGGAATCTTGAATTAAAAACCTTCAGAGTTTTGATTGATAAGTCTTGCATATTAAAAAATATCTATAATGGGAGAGTATAAAGACATTATTTAAAAAATCTTATGAATATTTAAATATTCTGTTAAATATTTTTTTCTACAAAATAATGAGATTAAAGAAAATTAAATCTTACATTTCGAAACTTTATAAAATCTGCTTCAAAACTAATTCTGCCAAATCTTTCCAATTGATTTCTCTTTCAAAATTTCTTACTTTTTTAAACAAATCCAGCCAAAGCTTTAAGACACCTTTAAAAAAATTAAAGAAAAAACACTTTTACATTTTTAAAATCACAAGATTTAAATTAAAATCTTAAAAGCATTTAACTATTTATTTAACTACTAAAGGGTATTTTTATAAAATGTATTCAACGCTTTCCATGTCTACATCTCTGTAGTCCATAGGAAAATCATTGATTTAAAAAAAAAAAACGAAACAAAATGGTAATGAAATGTTAAAGCTTTTTAAGCGAAACACTACTACTTAATACATTTTAAAACATTATTAACATGGATAATGAGAAACTCAAAATAAATAAAATTCGAAAATTTTCTTCAGCAAAAAAAAAAGAACGCCTTCTCTTCAGAATTTCAAATATAGCATACGATGTGCCAAAGCTTTGCCAACCAGTTGGCTGTACTCAATAATTGATTCGCGTTCTTCATTGCCAGCAATCTGAAAGAAAGTTGAAAGATATTTGTGTGGAAATAATTTAATATTTTTAATAAAGATTTAAAATATATAGATGGTCTACAGATCAGACTATAGAGGAGACTCTAGAACAGTCTTAGCCTAAACTATAGATTAGTCTCTCTAGAATATACATATGTATGTTACTCTAGGTACTAAACTATAGTCTAAAGATCACTCTATATTCCAGTTTATACATCAGTCTATAGATCAGTTGTCAGTCTATAGTCTATATTATAGATCAGTCTATAGTCTAGACTATAGATCAGTCTATAGTTTAGCCTATAGCCTAGCCTATAGATCAGTCTATAGTCTATCCTATAGATCAGTCTATAGTTTATCCTACAGATCAGTCTATAGTCTATCCTATAGATCAGTCTATAGTCTATCCTATAGATCAGTCTATAGTCTAGCCTATAGATCAGTCTATAGTCTATCCTATAGATCAGTCTATAGTCTATCCTATAGATCAGTCTATAGTCTAGCCTACAGATCAATATATAGTCTAGCCTATAGATCAGTCTATAGCCTAGCCTATAGATCAGTCTATAGTCTAGCCTATATATGAGTCTTTAGTCTAGCCTATAGATCGGTCTATAGACTAGCCTATAGATCAGTCTATAGACTAGCCTATAGATCAGCCTATAGTCTAGCCTATAGATCAGTCTATAGTCTAGCCTATATATCAGTCTATATCTAGCCTATAGATCAGTCTTTAGTCTAGCCTATAGATCAGTCTATAGACTAGCCTATAGATCAGTCTATACACTAGCCTATAGATCAGTTTATAGTCTAGACTATAGATCATCTATTCTAGACAATAGATCAGCCTTTAGTCTAGGCTATAGATCAGTCTATAGTCTAGCCTATAGATCAGTCTTTAGCCTAGCCTATAGATCAGAGTATAGACTAGCCTATAGATCAGTTTATAGTCTAGACTATAGATCATCTATTCTAGACAATAGGTCAGTCTTTAGTCTAGGCTATAGATCAGTCTATAGTCTAGACTATCAGTCTATACTCTAGCCTATATATCAGTCTATAGTCTAGCCTATATATCAGTCTATAGTCTAGCCTATAGATCAGTCTATGGTCTAGCCTAGAGATCAGCCTATAGATCAGTCTATAGTCTAGCCTATATATCAGTCTACAGTCTAGCCTATAGATCAGTCTATAGTCTAGTACAGACCAGTTTATAGGCTAGATTATGAATCAGTTTGTAGGCGGACTATATATAGATCTGTCTACAGTTTAGGATCAGACTATAGCCTATACTGTGGATCAGTTTATAGGCTATAGGTCAATCTATAGACTAGCCTATAGATCAGACTATAGTCTATCCTATAGATCAGCCTTAAGTCTATCCTATAGATCGTCTATAGTCTAGACTATAGTCAAGATTGTAGTCTAGACTGTAGATCAGTCTGTGGTATAGGCTGCAGTTCAGTCTAAAGTTTAGACTGTAGATCAGTCTGAATTATTATTGATTTAAAAATATCCTTTACCTGTTTATATTGACGATATTTAACGTATGTCTTGGCATTTATTAACAATAATACTGAATCTATGTCACTAATCTTAAACTCATTGGCATCCTTGGCCTGTAGATCATTGTTAAAACGTTGATATTTATTTGCATCCAATTTAGAGCGTATTTCTAAAATAAAAATCAAATTTTAACAAATTTCTATAATATCTAAGAAATATATTAACAAATCTTACCATCAGTTAACAAATGCCAAGTATAGGTTTCGGGACACAATAAATATGAAGATGATAATCTACCCTTGTAGCGCATTTTGGGACAGGAATGTATATAGAAACCCATATAATAATACTTAAGAGAGGGTACAATACTGGCAAGTCTTTGAACTAATTCAATTTCTCTATTAATAAGAATAAAATATAAAATTTGAAAATTATATATTTGGATTGTATTAAGCCCACCTTAAAGAGCTGTAAGTACCCAGTGATAGGAAATTATAATCTGGATCATAAAAGAAATAAACAGAACTAACACAATAGGGTAATATATCGATGACAGCAACAGCAATTAGTTTATCATCTAGCCAGTACTGTTGATGAAATGAACCATATCCCGAGGGAGGACCATCAGCAGGTTTAGAGAGCTATAAGTGAAGGGAGAAAAATTCGGTATTAGAGTGACAGTTATTTGGAAATTAAAAAATATTTTTAGAAATGGAAAATAGTCATGAACGAATTCTATAATTCATGTTAAAATACAATATTTCTGAAAAAAAAAAATCATGTTCGAATTTAAAATTTCTATAGAAAGTCCAGATTCGAATACAATTTTCATGTCTAAATATAGTTTTTCTATAGAAAATCTTTTCGATTGCAATTTTTCAATAGAAAATCATGTTCAAATTCAAGTATTCTTTAGAAAATCATGTTCGAATGCCATTTTGCTTTAGAAAATCATGTTCGAATTTCAGTTTTCCATAGAAACATGATGTTCGAATTCAAATTTTCTATAGAAAATCATGTTCGAATAGATTTATCTTTGGAAAATCATGTTCGAATGCAATTTTGCTTTAGAAAATCATGTTCGAATTTCAGTTTTCCATAGAAACATGATGTTCGAATTAAAACTTTCTATAGAAAATCATGTTCGAATTCAAATTTTATATAGAAAATCATGTTCGAATAGAATTTATCTTTGGAAAATCATGTTCGAATGCAATTTTGCTTCAGAAAATCATGATCGAATTTCAGTTTTCCATAGAAAATCTTGTTCGAATACAAATTTTCTATAAAATATCATCTTCGAATACAATTTATCTTAAGAAAACCATGTTCGAATGCAATTTTAGTTTAGAAAATCATGTTCGAATTTAAGTTTTCTACATAGAATCATGTTCGAATTCAAATTTTCTATGTTCGAATACAATTTATCTTTGGAAAATCATGTTCAAATGCAATTTTGGGTTAGAAAATCATGTTCGAATTTCATTTTTTCTCAGAAAATCATGTTCGAATTATATTTTTCTACATAAACTCATATTCGAATACAATTTTTCTTTAGAAAATCATGTTAGAATATAATTTTTCCATAGAAAATCATGTTCGAATACAATGTTGCTATAGAAAATCATGTTCGAATTAAAATTTTCTATAGAAAATTATGTTCGAATACAATTTATCTTTAGAAAATCATGTTCGAATGCATTTTTTCTATAGAAAATCATGTTCGAATTTTAGTTTTCCATAGCAAATCATTATCGAATTAAAATGTTTTATAGAAAATCATGTTCGAATACAATTTATCTTTAGAAAATCATGTTCGAATTTCAGTTTGCCACAGAAAATCATGTTCGAATTATATTTTTCTACATTAACTCATATTCGAATAAAATTTTTCTTTAGAAAATCATGTTCGAATACAATTTTGCTTTAGAAAATTATGTTCGAATACAATTTTGCTATAGAAAATCATGTTCGAATTCAAATTTTCTATAGAAAATTATGTTCGAATACAATTTATATTTAGAAAATCATGTTCGAATGCATTTTTTCTATAGAAAATCATGTTCGAATTTTAATTTTCCACAGAAAGTCATTTTCGAATTAAAATGTTTTATAGAAAATCATGTTCGAATACAATTTATCTTTAGAAAATCATGTTCGAATACAATTTTTCCATGTTCGAATTTTATTTTTCCACAGGAAATCATGTTCGAATTATATTTTTCTACAGAAACTTATCTTCAAATAAAATTTTTCTTTAGAAAATCATGTTCGAATTTTAGTTTCCATAGAGAATCATTTTCGAATTCAATTTTTCTATAGAAAATCATTTTCGAATAAAATTTTCCTTTAGAAAAATCATGTTCGAATGCAATTTTTCTATAGAAAATCATGTTCGAATTCAATTTATCTTTAGAAAATCATGTTCGAAATTAAATTTTCTATAGAAAATTATGTTCGAATATAATTTTTCTTTAGAAAATCAAGATCGAACTTAATATTTCTATAAAAAGTCATGATCAAAAACAGTTTTTCTATAGAAAATAATGTTCAGTAAGAATTTTTTACAGAAACTCATGTTCGAAAGCATTTTTCCATAGAAAATCATGTTCGAAAAAAAATTTTTCTTAAGAAAATCAATTTTCAATAAAAGTTTTCTTTAGCAGATTCTTTTTCCTAAAATATTCCCAAATTAAAATTCATTTGAAAATTATTCAATTTCATTTCATTCCACCTGCAATGGTGAACGTTGTAAAAACACTAAATAATCATCTTCACCGCCTGGTGGATCATTATGTATAAGTGTTTGATATTTCTTATAGAGTTCATAAGTTTGCGGCAAAGTTTTATGAAATTGTTCACTCTTAACATGTATGACTTCCAGCTGAAACGAAATTGAGGAGAAAAAAAAAAATGGTAAATATTAAAATTAAATAAAAAATTTACCTTAAGAGGGGAATTGTAAAGGAAACGTAGCAAATTTTTAGGTTGTAGACGTTCGGGATTATCATTGTGTATAATTAATTGATATTTACGATATAAAGCTAATGCCGTTTCAGAGTAAATGTCTTTATTCGAAGGTACTAAGACAATCTGTAAAAAGTGGGAAAAAACCAACAATAGTTTTTTTGTTTGCTTTTGGAAAAAGTGTGCTTTAACTAACTACTTTTTTTATAGTATATAAAAGAGTATGAGTGTACGTCTAAAACAACCAATAATTTGCAGGTTTAAATGTGATCAAATTGCTTGAAAAAACTTACCTTAAGTTTATGTTTATCATCGGGTCTGGCATCATTAATTAAATCATTTAGAGTTTTCTCTTGATCACGTGGTGTTTTGGGTGGCAAATCTGTGGGTAAACCTTTAGCAGCCTGCTTAGCCATTTTACGTTCCAAACGCATTTGTTTGGCTTTCTTGCAAGGAGGATTAACACCTTCTAAAGCTGTTTAGTTATTAAAAAGTTAAAATTAAGAACATTTTTTTTAATAAATTTAAAAATATTTACATTTCTTGCTGCCACTTGAGGATTCTTCATTAGTTTGTTTTTTATCTTCAATATCTTTAGCCGGAGTTTTTTCCTTTTCTTTATAATTATCCTTAACAGTGTTTGGTTCTCCATTTGCTTTAGCAAATAACTCTAGATTTATATCTTTTAGGGGGACATTAGGTCCCTGCACTTCTTCTCTAATACCACCACCACCTCCAGCATCATCTCCCACATCTTCATTGTCATTATCTTTAGTCTCTTTATCTGCATTATTTGTACCCTGACCTTCTTCATTTTTATCACGTTTGCCATCACGTAGAAAACGATTCATACGTTTAAGTACTTTTTTATGGGATTTAGATAATTTGAATTCCAAAGCATCGCATCTGTAAAAGAAAACAAATATTTAACTTTTGCCTTTTAAATTGTTTAATTCTTAACTCACTTGATGGTATAACAAGGACAACATGTTGTTGTATTATCTTGTTTGTAGCAATAATGGCCACTGCGTCGCCAACCACGATCAATAAGATCCTGATAGTCTGCTGGTGACATAGTATAGGCATGCATTCCTATAAGTTAACATTATTAATTGAATCATTTTAATAAATCACCTGATATATATCAAATATTAGTCATTGTAATATGTTCGTAGTAGCACGTAATTAATAATTATACTTTTGTATCAATTACAAATACATTTATTATGATAAGGTGATAAGGTTTCTATAGTAAAACTTTAACAATTTGTATGTAATTTTTACAAAAACCTTTTAATTCTTAGAAGTAAAAGTGTTGTTGATTTAGAAAAGTCAAGTTTTTATAACAATTTTAGAATTAATACTTTTAAATCTTTAAATGTTTGAAAATAGTTCAATGTCAAGGTTATAGATAACCCCGTTAACATGTCTATAACAAAGAAAACAATAAAACGCATATAAATAATGTTTAGAATAGACAATTTGTTTGAGTGAAATAAACTTTACGCTCCAACAACTAAATATATCTACACACTGAAAAAATATAAGAAGCCTTTAATATGAGAGAATTGTTTAATGCAATAAACTGATAAACTAATTGTAAACAATATTTTTTACCTATAATTTCACAAGATTTTGTTAAGTTACTGATAGCTCCCCCTAAATGTTATTATTTTCAAGAGATTGTTTACCTATGTGCATAATGTTTTATTTCAAACATATTGGAATAACTAAATTCTATTTGACATTTATTTTTCTATAACTAAACTATATATTTTTGGCTTAGCAACTTCATTAATATACAAAACATTTAAACTACTTCTTGTGTCATGCTGTATCAACTGATTCATAATGATGATTAGCAAGAATTTTCCTGTTCTTTATAAATCAATTGTGTTTTATTGTTTTAGAGACGCATTTTTTAAATCTACATAAATTATTTAGTTATTATTAGACTATGGAGTTTGAATACCGTATTATTGATTTCATATCGAAAACAGATTCAGTTTTAAGGGAAAATTTGCCAAAACATGAAAACTTCTTAAACATTTTGTAAATGTTTAATGATTACAATGGTTAGGTTAAGAAGGGTTATACACCGTAGAAACGATATATGTCCACTCGGAGACCATAAGATCTATTGTGATTTCCTTCAATAAAGTGAAGATTCAGAAAACAGAGAATGCAAAACGCTACCACCTAGTAGACTGCGAGGGTTAAGTCCCGCAATTTCCCCCAGTTCGCCATGGAACCTATTCCCTAGCCATTTCAGCCTAAGATTCTGTACCCTAGGACATTGGCAAATGATATGCTCGATCGTCTCTACTTTCTCCTCATCTTCGCATAACCGGCAATAGTCCGGTACACTACTGTCCCACTTACTGACAAAGGTTCTAACTGAGCGGTGTCCAGTTAGAATCCCTATCAGAGCCCTTAGACTGCGTCTGTCGAGTCCTACAAGTATTTTGGTAGCAGCCATATCAAGTTTTGGCCACAGGGCCTTTGATATTTTGCAATCCAATCTACTATTCCAGGACTGGTTAATGATGTCGCGTATTCTTTCGAATATCAACCTATTATAGTGACAAATGTGTGGTTTTACCATCCTTTCCCTGTCATCTATATCAAGGTTCGAACCTAATCTAGCTAGTTCGTCCGCAACCTCATTACCATGCACATTACAGTGACCTGGCACCCAACACAATCTAATGACAAACAGTCTCATAATGTCCCTAAGGGCATTTCTACAATGATTATAATACTTCTAAAGGAAAACAGGTTCGAACGCATTTTTATAAATAACCTATTCACATATAAGATGGTAGCTATAGTAACATCTTATAGCCGCTAGAAGGTTTACTTTATCTCCAAAACTTGCTCTCTTAATGGTCTCCTTAGAAGCAAGAGTCGGATTTCTACCAGCATTTCTTGTAGACTACTTCTTTGAGTTTAGACCACCTTCATTCCTTATTCTTTCAGAGAATGCCAGTTAACCCTTAACAGTTCTTTGCTGCTGGCGACGATTCTTAAATCTTTTGAGTTTAGGCCAAATCGATATTTTCAAACAATCTTTAGGAAGCTGTTAGAGGTTACAGCCCCTCGGCACTGCTCCTACTTGATAAACCATTAACATGGACTAAGGGAAGCCAAAAACACAGACTGCACGTAAAAAAAATCATTTTCATATAAAATTTTAAATAAAAACTATAATTTTGGACACTTAAGACTACTTTTAGTTAAATCTTTTAAAACCCGCTATAGCCTGTATTCGTTATCATTGAAATACCTATATTCGAACATTAATTACCATTCAAAGTAATGTTCTTAAAACAAGAATAGTTTAAATTTACCACAAAATCTACTTCCGAACAAAGTCCACTTTTTTGTCCCATAAACATTTATAGCCGGGAAGTTAAATACCGCAAAATTTCGCAGAAAAAAACAATACCTTAAAATATACCGATTTCAATCAAGAAGGTCGTTCATTAACTTTTCACTTTATATTTTTGCAGTGATTCGCATCTTTTTTTAAACATTTGCTATCAACAGCAGCTTCAGTTTACAAAAACAATAACCAGGCGGCACCTGTCTGGTGTTTTTGTTTTTTTTTTTTTCTTCAATATATGCTAAAACAACAAAACTTTATACGTCACTTTTTTTCATCTTAAAAGTGTATTGTATACAAATCTTTGTTCGTTTTGTTGTTGTTTGATTGATTATTAGTTTGAAAATTATTTAAATTTATGCTTAACGTGTTAAATAAAAACAAATATGGTGTGACTTAAAGTTTTTTTGCTCCTTCATCGAAATAAAATCAATTAATTCTGGTTTCTTCCAGTTACATTGCCCACTGCCAATGACACTTACCATGACCAATGCTGCATTTGGTACCTTTGCAGTAGCCGCATTTACTTTCTTGTTTCCCGTAATATTCCACTATAGTGAACTCCATTTTTTGTTAATTATATTTTATGCCTTTAGTTTGCAATTTTTGCAAAATTTTTTATTTTTTCAATTACGTATTTTTTCTAGTTTGATTTTTCTTTGTCTTATTCTGTTGAAAAGTTTTTCTAACTGATGTTTTTTTTAGAATGCAAAAAAACTTCTGACAGCTGTTCATTCCAGTTGCTATCGATAACTTGTTTTTGCTGCGTTGAGTTTGTATAACTATAAAAGTCATTGAGAGAAATACACAGAGAAAATATAATGTTTGATTGACTTTAAGTGGTAAACTAAACTAACTAACTAACTAACTAACTACTAACTAACTAACTAACTAACTAACTACTAACTAACTAACTAACTAACTAACTAACTAACTAACTAACTAACTAACTAACTAACTACTAACTAACTAACTAACTAACTAACTAACTAACTAACTAACTAACTAACTAACTAACTAACTAACTAACTAACTAACTAACTAACTAACTAACTAACTAACTAACTAACTACTAACTAACTAACTAACTAACTAACTAACTAACTAACTAACTAACTAACTAACTAACTAACTAACTAACTAACTAACTAACTAACTAACTAACTAACTAACTAACTAACTAACTAACTAACTAACTACAACTAACTAACTAACTAACTAACTAACTAACTAACTAACTAACTAACTAACTAACTACTACTAACTAACTAACTAACTAACTAACTAACTAACTAACTAACTAACTAACTACTAACTAACTAACTAACTACTAACTACTAACTAACTAACTAACTAACTAACTAACTAACTAACTACTAACTAACTAACTAAACTAACTAACTAACTAACTAACTACTAACTACTAACTAACTAACTAACTAACTAACTAACTAACTAACTAACTAACTAACTAACTAACTAAACTAACTAACTAAACTAACTAACTACTAACTAACTACTAACTAACTAACTAACTAACTAACTAACTAACTAACTAACTAACTAACTAACTAACTAACTAACTAACTAACTAACTAACTAACTAACTACTACTAACTAACTAACTAACTAACTAACTAACTAACTAACTAACTAACTAACTAACTAACTAACTAACTAACTAACTACCTAACTAACTAACTAACTAACTAACTAACTAACTAACTAACTAACTAACTAACTAACTAACTAACTAACTAACTAACTAACTAACTAACTAACTAACTAACTAACTAACTAACTAACTAACTAACTAACTAACTAACTAACTAACTAACTAACTAACTAACTAACTAACTAACTAACTAACTAACTAACTAACTAACTAACTAACTAACTAACTAACTAACTAACTAACTAACTAACTAACTACTAACTAACTAACTAACTAACTAACTAACTAACTAACTAACTAACTAACTAACTAACTAACTAACTAACTAACTAACTAACTAACTAACTAACTAACTAACTAACTAACTAACTAACTAACTAACTAACTAACTAACTAACTAACTAACTAACTAACTAACTAACTAACTAACTAACTAACTAACTAACTAACTAACTAACTAACTAACTAACTAACTAACTAACTAACTAACTAACTAACTAACTAACTAACTAACTAACTAACTAACTAACTAACTAACTAACTAACTAACTAACTAACTAACTAACTAACTAACTAACTAACTAACTACTAACTAACTAACTAACTAACTAACTAACTAACTAACTAACTAACTAACTAACTAACTAACTAACTAACTAACTAACTAACTAACTAACTACTAACTAACTAACTACTACTAACTAACTAACTTACTAACTAACTAACTAACTAACTAACTAACTAACTAACTAACTACTAACTAACTAACTACTAACTAACTAACTAACTAACTAACTAACTAACTAACTAACTAACTAACTAACTAACTACTAACCAACTAACTAACTAAATGTTTTTCAGTACAAATTTAAACTTCCCTGTGTTGCCATACACTCTTCTTACCTCGGTTAATCAACAAGCCGGTTTTCGAAATATTGGCAATTTTCGGAAAATCGGTTTCTCCAGAAGTCGGGTTTTTAAACTATAGTTCTATGGACGAGTTTACTGTCTAGTCTATATACGAATCTATTGTCTAGTCTGTTGTCTAGAATATAGCCCAGTCTTTTCTCTAGTCTATATATAAGTAATTTTTCTTTTCTACAGACTAGTCTATTGTCTAGTCCATGGTCTGGTATATGTAAAATTAATATGTAAAATTAAAAAAAGGTTTGGTACAATCGGAATCAAAAAAGTACAACTTCAATGCCTTCTTGTACAATTTGCAAATAGCATTTGCCATCCCTGCTGTGTAGTGTTTAAATATTCTTATAACTTCTCTAACTGTATTATACACACACAGCCAAATGTAAACAAAACAGAAATAGTACTATGTTAAAGAAGTACTTTTTAAATACAACTGTGTGTACAAATTAAGCTTTTACTTTCCAGACATTTAAATTTGTTTCACTAACTTTTGTTTTCTCATTTAGTTTGTAGTTGAAAAGCTCAGCCAGAGTCGTGAGCTTTATTCTAATAAACATTTTTACACATGAAATTTTTTCTGGTCAGTTTTGAAAATCTATTAAGTAAGAGTGGATGCTTATTTGTTGGTGGCGTATAAATTTAATAAAAGTAAAATAAAACAAGAAAAAACTATTAAAAGCTATGAATATTTGAATTTATTAACTTGACGGGTATTACACGTAATTTGGCAATGTGGTGATTCGTACGTACTAGTGAAGTGTTAAATAATATTGTTTTTTTTACACAAAAACGAAAACAAAAACAACTTCTATACATGTGTTTAGCAAAAAGAAAACGTCATTAAAAAACAACTGATTTCTCTTGGAGGGTCGCGCGATTTTGCGTAAAAAACAGAAAATATACACAAACAAAATCGGGAAAAAATAGAAAAATTATAAAAGAAATTAGTAAATGATGGTGAAGGTGCATTAGCAAATTAGTTTAGTATAAAAAAAGCTGGATGACAACAAATGATTTAGCAAATAAGGTGAAATATTTCAACAGATAAAGTGTAATTGAAATGCAAATTATAAAAAAATACATATTGATTTTCTTCTAAGTGAATAAAATGAGAGTAAATAAAATCAAAATTGTATAACAAAAACAAAAAATTGTGTAAAAAACGAAAATCTCAATTATAAAACAAACCCCACAAAACAACAACAACAACAATTATAAACAATTAAAATTTTGAAAAAGAGAAAGAAAAAACAGTTCAATTAACTTTTTTTTTTGTTATGGAATTTCTAAAAAAATTTACAACAATTTAAAAGAAATTTAAATTAACAACATTTTAATTTAGAAAACTTTGTTTTAAAGCGTTTTTGTTCAAACAGTTTTTTTTGTCCATGGAATTTTTTTATGTAAAAAACACGAGTTTTATATACTTTCACTAAAATTATTCATCACCATCACCAGTTCTGCAACACCTCCCCTGTTACCGGAGTGTTCCCACCAAACCACTTATTCAAAAGATTGAACATTGAACTTGAACTGTTCGTCAGTTAATTTGTTTTTTATTTCTTTATAACGTAAAGTTAATGTTTTATTTAAAACATTTCGTTGTTAATACATTTTGAATTTTTATCATTTCAAACTATTTATTGTAAAATTATTTTATTGCAATCTAAGCAAATGATTGTTTAGCATTTTCATTTCCGTTTCAATAAGACAAATTATAAGAATTTCCCGCCATTTTAAAGAATTTTCTATAGCCAGTGTCGAACCTACTTAGCTTACAAATAAAGAAGCTTAAGCGTCAAAAAAATAAAGTATAAAAACAAAGGTTGAAAAATAATGTAATTAAATGTTTAAAAAATTGTCCAATATAGGCACATGCTTTTAATTAATAAGTTGTTTAAAGATTTAAATGCTACTTACTAATTTATGTGAAAATTGTGAATAGGAAAATTTTCAAAATAACACCTAAAATGTGTGAAAGTTAATCAATCAAGTTCTGTTCTGGTTAGGTTCTTCTTCAGTTCCAGCTAATTCTAGTTCAGTTTTAGTTCAGTACTAGGTCAGTACTAGTTTAGTTCTAGTCCAATTCTAGTTTAGTTCTTGTTCAGTTCTAGTTCAACTCAAGTTCTGTTCTAGCTAAGTTTTAGTTCAGTTCAAGCTCAGTTCTAGATCAGTTCTAGATCAGTTCTAGTTCAGTTCTAGTTCATTTCTAGTTCAGTTCTAGTTCAGTTCTAATTCAGTTCTAGTTCAGTTCTAGTTCAGTTCTAGTTCAGTTCTAGTTCAGTTCTAGTTCAGTTCTAGTTCAGTTCTAGTTCAGTTCTAGTTCAGTTCTAGTTCAGTTCTAGTTCAGTTCTAGTTCAGTTCTAGTTCAGTTCTAGTTCAGTTCTAGTTCAGTTCTAGTTCAGTTCTAGTTCAGTTCTAGTTCAGTTCTAGTTCAGTTCTAGTTCAGTTCTAGTTCAGTTCTAGTTCAGTTCTAGTAGAGTTCTAGTTCAGTTCTAGTTCAGTTCTAGTTCAGTACTAGTTCAGTACTAGTTCAGTACTAGTTCAGTACTAGTTTAGTTCCAGTTTAGTTCTTGTTCAGTTCTAGTTCAATTCAAGTTCTGTTCTAGTTCAGTTTTAGTTCAGTTCTAGTTCAACTCAAGTTCTTTTCTAGTTCAGTTTTAGTTCAGTTCTAGTTCAGTTCTATTTCAGTTCTAGTTCAGTTCTAGTTCAGTTCTAGTTCAGTTCTAGTTCAGTTCTAGTTCAGTTCTAGTTCAGTTCTAGTTCAGTTCTACTTCAGTTCTAGTTCTAGTTCAGTTCTAGTTCAGTTCTAGTTCAGTTCTAATTCAGGTCTAGTTCAGTTCTAGTTCAGTTCTAGTTCAGTTCTAGTTCTGTTCTAGTTCAGTTCTAGTTCAGTTCTAGTTCAGTTCTAGTTCAGTTCTAGTTCAGTTCTAGTTCAGTTCTAGTTCAGTTCTAGTTCAGTTCTAGTTCAGTTCTAGTTCGGTTCTAGTTCAGTTCTAGTTCAGTTCTAGTTCAGTTCTAGTTCAATTCTAGTTCAGTTCTAATTCAGTTCTAGTTCTTTTCTAGTTCTGTTCTAGTTCTGTTGTAGTTCTGTTCTAGTTCTGTTCTAGTTCTGTTCTGGTTCTGTTCTAGTTCTGTTCTAGTTCTGTTCTAGTTATACCCTACACCACTTTAGTGGGGAGGGTATATTGGATTTGTGCTGATGTTTGTAACATACAAAAATATTCGTCCTAGACCCACCTTAAAGTATACCAATCGGCTTAGAATCGTTTTCTGAGTCGATTAAGCTATGTCCGTCCGTCCGTCTGGCTGTCCATGTAAACCTTGTGCGCAAGGTACAGGTCGCAATTTTCAAGATAATTGGATGAAATTTGGCATGCACGTTTTATTTGACCCAAGGACGAAGCCTATTGAAAATGGTTAAAATCGGTCCATTATTTCACATAGCCCCCATAGAACAGAACCCCCCGAAAAGGGCTTCTGAGCTCATAATTATGTTAAATATACAGATATATCGATAAAATACGGCACAACTAAGTTTTATAGAAGTCTTGATGACCCTGCCAAATTTCATAAAGATCGGGCCCCATTTGACCCTAGCTCCCATACAAAGTCCCCTTCAGAAAATTACTTGAATGTCCCAAATTAACTTATAAACACAAATATCGCGATGAAATTCAGCACAATAAAATATTATGTAAATATAAATATATTCACAAAATTTTATCGGGCTTGGTCCATATTTGCCCCTAGCCCCCATATAAAGCCTCTTTCAGAAAATTAGTTTTTCATCCATAAATTGCTTAAATGTATCGGAACAAGGGAATATTGAAAATAAATGCTTTACTATGAAAAATAAATCACATTTAATATTCATAACTGGTGTAGGGTATCATATGGTCGGCCTCGCCCGACTATACTTTCTTACTTGTTCTGTTCTAGTTCTGTTCTAGTACTGTTCTAGTTCAGTTCTAGTTCAGCAATAGTGCAATTCTATTTGAGTTCTAGATCAGTTCTAGTTCAGTTCTACTTCAGTTCTAGTTCAATCCTAGTTCAGTTCTAGTTCAGTTCTAATTCAGTTCTAGTTCAGTTCTAGTTCAGTTCTAGTTCAGTTCTAGTTCAGTTCTAATTCAGTTCTAGTTCAGTTCTAGTTCAGTTCTAGTTCAGTTCTAGTTCAGTTCTAGTTCAGTTCTAGTTCAGTTCTAGTTCAGTTCTAGTTCAGTTCTAGTTCAGTTCTAGTTCAGTTCTAGTTCAGTTCTAGTTCAGTTCTAGTTCAGTTCTAGTTCAGTTCTAGTTCAGTTCTAGTTCAGTTCTAGTTCTAGTTGAATTCTAGTTCAGTTCTAATTCAGTTGTTTATGTACCCTTGTTATAGTTCTTTTATGGATCTAGGTCCAATTAATTGAATACATGCAAATCGCTGTAGTGGCATTAGAGGTAGAAGGAGATTGGCTTGACATAACGAATTTTGAATTACATAATTGAAATTTCTTTATGGGAAAAGTACACTTATAATACCGTTGAACTAATACGCTTTAAAACAAATTTTAAATCCAATCTTTATTCTAAAAAACCTATAGCAAACAACAATAAACACCAATGTAAGGTTCCTGTTTTGAAAAGAGAAAAATGTGCTAAAAGTACTCGTCGTACCTGAGCTGGAAGCAACAAATAACAATAAAGTGTCCTCACAAAATTACCTAAATCACCTACAACTACCTCGCTGATTTTAAATTATTTATTGTATAAATATCTCAACTACCCCATAATATATTGCAAATATGTCTAATTTTGATGCCTGGGATTATGCGGTGTTGATCACCATCCTGGCCATATCGGCATCTATAGGAATTTATTATCGCCTATCGGGCGGCAAACAAAAAACCACCAAAGAATATTTAATGGCTGATCAAAGTATGTCAGCGTTACCAGTATCATTTAGTTTAATGGCGAGTTTTATGTCGGCCATAACTCTGCTGGGTGTCTCCAATGAGAGTTATCAGTTTGGCATTATGTTCTGTGCCATTAATATAGCCTATATTTTAAGTACACCTCTGGCAGCTTATGGATTTCTACCGGTTTTCTATCGCATGCGCACCACAAGTGTTTATGAGTATTTGGAGCGACGTTTTGGCCACAGCATGCGTTTGGTGGCTTCGTTGGCCTATTCAGTACAAATGATTTTATATATGGGCATAGTATTGTATGCACCCGCCTTGGCGCTGGAAGCTGTAACGGGTTTAAGTCATGTGGCCGCCATTTTAGCTATAGGTTTAGTTTGTACCTTCTACTCGACTCTGGGTGGCATGAAGGCTGTGCTCATCACTGATGTCTTTCAATCTTTACTCATGTTTGCCGGCATTTATTCGGTGATTATAGTATCGGCCATTAAGGCTGGAGGTCTTCAGCCCATTTGGCAAGCGGCTCAGGAAACAGGTCGTTTAGATGTTAGTGCCATTTCCTTGGATCCTACAATACGTCATACTTGGTGGAGTTTAATTATTGGTGGTATGGTTACTTATCTATCACTGTATGGTGTTAATCAAACTCAGGTGCAACGTCTCTTAAGTGTGAGGGACTTGAAAGGTGCTCAGGCGGCGCTATGGTGGAATTTGCCTATTTTGAGCTGTTTGAGTTTTAGTACTCTGTTTACGGGTTTGGCGATATTTTACTATTATCGCAATTGTGATCCTGTGCTGAATGGCCGCATTAAGTCCAGAGATCAATTGATGCCGCTATTTGCTGTGGATACTATGGGTAAGTGGAGTTGGATTTTAAAATTTAGGAAATTTTTTTACATAATATGATTTTCTAGTTCAGTTCTAGTTCAGTTCTAGTTCAGTTCTAGTTCAGTTCTAGATCAGTTCTAGTTCAGTTCTAGTTCAGTTCTAGTTCAGTTCTAGTTCAGTTCTAGTTCAGTTCTAGTTCAGTTCTAGTTCAGTTCAGTTCTAGTTCAGTTCTAGTTCAGTTCTAATTCAGTTCTAGTTCAGTTCTAGTTCAGTTCTAGTTTAGTTCTAATTCAGTTCTAATTCAGTTCTAGTTCAGTTCTAGTTCAGTTCTAGTTCAGTTCAGTTCTAGTTCAGTTCTAGTTCAGTTCTAGTTCAGTTCTAGTTCAGTTCTAGTTCAGTTCTAGTTCAGTTCTAGTTCAGTTCTAGTTCAGTTCTAGTTCAGTTCTAGTTCAGTTCTAGTTCAGTTCTAGTTCAGTTCTAGTTCAGTTCTAGTTCAGTTCTAGTTCAGTTCTAGTTCAGTTCTAGTTCAGTTCTAGTTCAGTTCTAGTTCAGTTCTAGTTCAGTTCTAGCTCAGTTCTAGTTCAGTTCTAGTTCAGTTCTAGTTCAGTTCTAGTTCAGTTCTAGTTCAGTTCTAGTTCAGTTCTAGTTCAGTTCTAGTTCAGTTCTAGTTCAGTTCTAGTTCAGTTCTAGTTCAGTTCTAGTTCAGTTCTAGTTCAGTTCTAGTTCTAGTTCAGTTCTAGTTCAGTTCTAGTTCAGTTCTAGTTCAGTTCTAGTTCAGTTCTAGTTCAGTTCTAGTTCAGTTCTAGTTCAGTTCTAGTTCAGTTCTAGTTCAGTTCTAGTTCAGTTCTAGTTCAGTTCAGTTCTAGTTCAGTTCTAGTTCTAATTAAGTTCTAGTTCAGTTCTAGTTCTAATTCAGTTCTAGTTCAGTACTAGTTCAATTCTAGTTCAGTTCTAGTTCAGTTCTAGTTCAGTTCTAGTTCAGTTCTAGTTCAGTTCTAGTTCAGTTCTAGTTCAATTCTAGTTCAGTTCTAGTTCAGTTCTAGTTCAGTTCTAGTTCAGTTCTAGTTCAGTTCAGTTCTAGTTCAGTTCTAGTTCAGTTCTAGTTCAGTTCTAGTTCAGTTCTAGTTCAGTTCTAGTTCAGTTCTAGTTCAGTTCTAGTTCAGTTCTAGTTCAGTTCTAGTTCAGTTCTAGTTCAGTTCTAGTTCAGTTCTAGTTTAGGTCGGCTGACGTTCCAAAAATTGTACAATAACTTTATCAAATTTGTAACCCTTATCTTTTTTGCTTGTTAAATTTCAGGTCAATATCCCGGCTTGTGTGGACTCTTCGTATCGGGCATCTTCTCTGCCAGTCTCTCAACTGTGTCTTCAGCTGTTAGCTCTCTCTCCGCCGTAACTTTAGAGGATTATTTAAAACCTTTATATAAGAAAATATTCAAAAGAGCCATGACCGATTCCAGCACCACATTGCCCTCGAAAATAATGGCCTGTATATATGGTCTAGTATGCATAGCTTTGGCCTTTGGAGCCGGTTCAATGGGTGGAGTATTGCAAGCTTCACTCACTATATTCGGTGTAGTAGGTGGTCCTCTATTGGCTGTTTTCACTTTGGGCATGTGCACCACGAGAGCTAATCAAAGAGGTGTAATAGCAGGACTGTTGTGTGGTCTGTGTTTTGCATTTTGGATTGGTTTTGGTGGACCCAAACCACCACCACCATCTTTGCCGCTATCCGATGATGGCTGTATCGCCGCTAATACAACTTTAGTAGCGGAATCATTAAGAGTCATAGAGGAGTTTGTTAATGAAACCGTAAGCACTACAACGGAACAAAGTTTAAGTGCAGCACCCCACTATTTCTGGCTTTATCGTCTGTCGTATATGTGGTATTGTGTTTTGGGTTTCATTATCACTCTTTGCTTAGGCTATATGTTTAGTTGGCTACTGGAACGTTTCGATTGGGCTGATAATTCTCAGATATATTTGGATTTGGCCTGCAAACAATTGGACTATGACTTATTTGTGCCTTTACTGTCGCGCAAATTGCAAGAACAAGCTGCTGCTTCAGAAGAGTTGGGTAAATTAAATTATTGTCATACGGTGACTTAAAAATCTAGTTAATTTTATTTATATTGCTATCAATATTATAATTTTTATTGTAAATTTTTTTAGCGCTTAAGTTTTTATATGTAAGGGTTTTAATTTGTATTAAGTTTGAAAATAAGGGGGTTCTATTCTTTTCATATATAAATTAGCTATCTCATTAGAGAATATTTTTACTTTTATATAAATTAAAGTTTTCAGTTCAAATTTTTAAGTTTAAAATTGTGTTTTTATAGGAATTCTACTTTAATATTATGTTAATTTACTTAATTTTTAAAAAATTACTTACTTTGTAACTAAGTTTTACTTAATTTTAACAAAAACTTAATTTAACTTAATTTTTTCTTGATATTAATTTATTTGTTAATTAAATTAATTTTTAAAGAAAAACTAAAATATTGAAATACATTTCTACTGAAAAGTGAACTTTAAAAGTTCAAATGTAATTGGTTTATGTTTTTTATTATTTTGTTTAAAGAATTGGAAAATTTTGAGTTTAGATATGAAAGGATTCGAAAATGAGTTTCCTTCTTTGGTTTTTTATTTATTATTTGAGAAAATGTATTTGAAAAAACCGATGTTTTTGAAAGAAATTTTATCTTTGGACCCGCCTTAAATAGATTTTGATTAAAAAGTAATTCCTAACAACTTGGGCGGCTGGATATTGAAATGGAATTTCAATATCCAGCCGTAAAAATGTAAACCGATCGTCTTCCTCGGTTTACATTTTCTGAGCTCATAGAAAAGTTGACACCTTTACAGTTCTAGTTCAGTTCTAGTTCAGTTCTAGTTCAGTTCTAGTTCAGTTCTAGTTCAGTTCTAGTTCAATTCTAGTTCAGTTCTAGTTCTAGTTCAGTTATAGTTCAGTTCTAGTTCAGTTCAAGTTCAGTTCTAGTTCAGATCTAGTTCAGTTCTAGTTCAGTTCTAGTTCAGTTCTAATTCAGTTCTAATTCAGTTCTAGTTCAGTTCTAGTTCAGTTCTAGTTCAGTTCAAGTTCAGTTTTAGTTCAGTTCTAGTTCAGTTCTAGTTCAGTTTTAGTTCAGTTCTAGTTCAGTTTTAGTTCAGTTCTAGTTCAGTTCTAGTTCTAGTACAGTTCTAGTTTAGTTCTAGTTCAATTTTAGTTCAGTTCTCGTTTAGTTCTAGTTCTAGCTCAGTTCTAGTTCTAGTTCAGTTCTAGTTCAGTTCTAGTTCAGTTCAAGTTCAGTTCAAGTTCAGTTCAAGTTCAGTTCTAGTTCAGTTCTAGTTAAGTTCTAGTTCAGTTCTAGTTCTAGTTCTAGTTCAGTTCTAGTTCAGTTCTAGTTCAGTTCTAGTTCTAGTTCTAGTTCTAGTTCAGTTCTAGTTCAGTTCTAATTCAGTTCTAGTTCAGTTCTAGTTCAGTTCTAGTTCAGTTCTAGTTCAGTTCTAGTTCAGTTTTAGTTCAGTTCTAGTTCAGTTTTAGTTCAGTTCTAGTTCAGTTCTAGTTCAGTTCTAGTTCAGTTTTAGTTCAGTTCTAGTTCAGTTCTAGTTCAGTTCTAGTTCAGTTCTAGTTCAGTTCTAGTTCAGTTCTAGTTCAGTTCTAGTTCAGTTCTAGTTCAGGTCTAGTTCTAGTTCAGTTCTAGTTCAGGTCTAGTTCAGTTCTAGTTCAGTTCTAGTTCAGTTCTAGTTCAGTTCTAGTTCAGTTCTAGTTCAGTTCTAGTTCAGTTCTAGTTCAGTTCTAGTTCAGTTTTAGTTCAGTTCTAGTTCAGTTCTAGTTCAGGTCTAGTTCAGTTCTAGTTCAGTTCTAGTTCAGGTCTAGTTCTAGTTCAGTTCTAGTTCAGGTCTAGTTCTAGTTCAGTTCTAGTTCAGTTCTAGTTCAGTTCTAGTTCAGTTCTAGTTCATTTCTAGTTCAATTCTAGTTCAATTCTATTTCAGTTCTAGTTCAGTTCTAGTTTAGTTCTTATTCAGTTCTAGTTCAGTTCTCGTTCAGTTCTAGTTCAGTTCTAGTTCAGTTCTAGTTCAGTTCTAGTTCAGTTCTGGTTCAGTTCTAGTTCAGTTCTAGTTCAGTTCTAGTTCAGTTCCAGTTAAGTTCTAGTTCAGTTCTAGTTCAGTACTAGTTCAGTTCTAGTTCAGTTCTAGTTCAGTTCTAGTTCAGTTCTAGTTCAGTTCTAGTTCAGTTCTAGTTCAGTTCTAGTTTAGTTCTAGTTCAGTTCTAGTTCAGTTCTAGTACAGTTCTAGTTTAGTTCTAGTTCAATTTTAGTTCAGTTCTCGTTTAGTTCTAGTTCTAGCTCAGTTCTAGTTCTAGTTCAGTTCTAGTTCAGTTCTAGTTCAGTTCAAGTTCAGTTCAAGTTCAGTTCAAGTTCAGTTCTAGTTCAGTTCTAGTTAAGTTCTAGTTCAGTTCTAGTTCTAGTTCTAGTTCAGTTCTAGTTCAGTTCTAGTTCAGTTCTAGTTCTAGTTCAGTTCTAGTTCAGTTCTAATTCAGTTCTAGTTCAGTTCTAGTTCAGTTCTAGTTCAGTTCTAGTTCAGTTCTAGTTCAGTTCTAGTTCAGTTTTAGTTCAGTTCTAGTTCAGTTCTAGTTCAGTGCTAGTTCAGGTCTAGTTCAGTTCTAGTTCAGTTCTAGTTCAGTTTTAGTTCAGTTCTAGTTCAGTTCTAGTTCAGTTCTAGTTCAGTTCTAGTTCAGTTCTAGTTCAGTTCTAGTTCAGTTCTAGTTCAGTTCTAGTTCAGTTCTAGTTCAGTTCTAGTTCAGTTCTAGTTCAGGTCTAGTTCTAGTTCAGTTCTAGTTCAGGTCTAGTTCAGTTCTAGTTCAGTTCTAGTTCAGTTCAGTTCTAGTTCAGTTCTAGTTCAGTTCTAGTTCAGTTCTAGTTCAGTTCTAGTTCAGTTCTAGTTCAGTTCTAGTTCAGTTTTAGTTCAGTTCTAGTTCAGTTCTAGTTCAGGTCTAGTTCTAGTTCAGTTCTAGTTCAGTTCTAGTTCAGTTTTAGTTCAGTTCTAGTTCAGTTCTAGTTCAGTTCTAGTTCAGTTCTAGTTCAGTTCTAGTTCAGTTCTAGTTCAGTTCTAGTTCAGTTCTAGTTCAGGTCTAGTTCTAGTTCAGTTCTAGTTCAGGTCTAGTTCAGTTCTAGTTCAGTTCTAGTTCAGTTCTAGTTCAGTTCTAGTTCAGTTCTAGTTCAGTTCTAGTTCAGTTCTAGTTCAGTTCTAGTTCAGTTCTAGTTCAGTTTTAGTTCAGTTCTAGTTCAGTTCTAGTTCAGGTCTAGTTCAGTTCTAGTTCAGTTCTAGTTCAGGTCTAGTTCAGTTCTAGTTCAGTTCTAGTTCAGTTCTAGTTCTAGTTCAGTTCTAGTTCAGTTCTAGTTCAGTTCTAGTTCAGTTCTAGTTCAGTTCTAGTTCAATTCTAGTTCAATTCTATTTCAGTTCTAGTTCAGTTCTAGTTTAGTTCTTATTCAGTTCTAGTTCAGTTCTCGTTCAGTTCTAGTTCAGTTCTAGTTCAGTTCTAGTTCAGTTCTAGTTCAGTTCTGCGTTCAGTTCTAGTTCAGTTCTAGTTCAGTTCTAGTTCAGTTCTAGTTAAGTTCTAGTTCAGTTCTAGTTCAGTTACTAGTTCAGTTCTAGTTCAGTTCTAGTTCAGTTCTAGTTCAGTTCTAGTTCAGTTCTAGTTCAGTTCTAGTTCAGTTCTAGTTCAGTTCTAGTTCAGTTCTAGTTAGTTCTAGTTCAGTTCTAGTTCAGTTCTAGTTCAGTTCTAGTTAAGTTCTAGTTCAGTTCTAGTTCAGTTCTAGTTCAGTACTAGTTCAGTTCTAGTTCAGTTCTAGTTCAGTTCTAGTTCAGTTCTAGTTCAGTTCTAGTTTAGTTCTTCTAGTTCAGTTCTAGTTCAGTTCTAGTTCAGTTCTAGTTCAGTTCTAGTTCAGTTCTAGTTCAGTTCTAGTTCAGTTCTAGTTCAGTTCTAGTTCAGTTCTAGTTCAGTTCATAGTTCAGTTCTAGTTCAGTTCTAGTTTCAGTTCTAGTTCAGTTCTAGTTCAGTTCTAGTTCAGTTCTAGTTCAGTTCTAGTTCAGTTCTAGTTCAGTTTAGTTCAGTTCTAGTTCAGTTTAGTTCAGTTCTAGTTCAGTCTAGTTCAGTTCTAGTTAAGTTCTAGTTCAGTTCTAGTTCAGTTCTAGTTCAGTACTAGTTCAGTTCTAGTTCAGTTCTAGTCAGTTCTACTTCAGTTCTAGTTCAGTTCTAGTTCAGTTCTAGTTCAGTTCTAGTTCAGTTCTAGTTCAGTTCTAGTCAGTTCTAGTCAGTTCTAGTTCAGTTCTAGTTCAGTTCTAGTTCAGTTCTAGTTCAGTTCTAGTTCAGTTCTAGTTCAGTTCTAGTTTAGTTTTAGTTTGGCTCTAGTTTAGTTTTTATTCAATTGTCTCCGCAGGGACACAGTTTTCTTTAGAAATGTTGGGATTTCTTTGGGAGAAAGTTGGGGTAATTTTACAAATTAAAGTGTTTTATAATTATTGAGTTTTTGAAATTTTAAATTAACAGCCAGTATTTAAAATTTCAAAATTTTCTTTAATTTCAGTTGTAAATTTTAGAAATTTATTTTTCTATTTTTTAATTATAATTTTTGTAGAATTTTCTTTCTCTTTCCAGTTGAGTCATAGATAGGGGGCGCAAAGGAAATAGCCAGAAAGTAATGTATATTTTAATTTCAAAATTGCTATGATTTTCAAAAATGCATCGAATTATTTAGCCAAATTTATTAAGTATTTATAGCAAAATATTATATATGTACATAAATAAAAAAATAATATTGTTTAAATAGCTAAATTGCATATTTTGTGTTTTTAATACAATGTATGAAAATAAATATTTAAAATATTTTTTAAAAATAAAAACTGCAATCTGTTAAATATTACGTTAAAGTCTTCCATTGTAATTGTAGTTGAGGCAATAATTTTCGTTACAAAACGAATAAAAAAGAATTTGCTTAAATTGTGTAATTTTATATAAATATACTTAAAATAAATATTTGTATGTAAAGTAAATTAAAAAATACTAATTAAAATAAAAATTTATAAATTTAATAACAAAAAAAATATATATTACATTTTAACAAAAAATATGTTCATGTCTCAGCATTATTAACATTTTGCATACAATGTAAATTTCCTTAAATTACACAAACATTTTTTGTGCAAAAATGTAATTGCACAATATATTTAAAATAAATGTTGTATTTTACTTAATGCCTGCAAATATTTGTTTTGTTTGTGCAAACAAATTTACTATACTATACTCACAAACTCACAAACCAGAACTAAATATTTATTATACATATATAGTAGATAAATAAAATAAAAATAAATTTTACAATGTTTATAAAATCTTAATGATCTTTTTTAATTATTTAATCTTTATGGCCCCACCACCATCATTAAGAAAATACTACTGGATCTGGGGATCTATAAAAGAAGCGTGAGGTATGTATGGCTATGATAAACAATAAAGATTGTAGATAATAATGATAAGATTTATTGAAGT